TAGGTTGGAGGCCATCGCTTCTAGGTTGGAGGCCATCGCTAGTAGTTTGGAGGCCATCGCTTCTAGGTTGGAGGTGTTGCCCATCACTTCCTGGCAGACCAGGTGTGTCAAAGATGGCATCGAGGTTTGCGGAAAGATGCACTGGGATGCTGCAGTCAGCGGACTGAGAGACTGAGAGTTCTGTCTTGCTTGTCTTGTGAGCTTGTTCCTTGCTCCAAGCCTGAAGCGGCTTCAACCCCAAAAGTTCCAGAAGGCACATCTGATGAACGGGTGTGAATACAGGCAAACAATTCTGGAACAACGAGCAGAGTCAGAGTCAGAGTGCTGGATTGGATGCTTTAAGGTAGACATGAAGCTGACCTTGGGGACATGGAAGTTTGGTATCAATCGCATTCTGATCGATGGCAACTTGGATGGCAGCAGCTTCATTAAAGACGAACTAGGCGACGGGTGGCCCGAGAGCACGAGGTATATGTATGATTTTGCGTGATAACTTAGCTGATACTCTTGGTGGAGATTCAGAAAGCCATCTTCAGGAGGTGCTATTCTGAAACAGTTTGGCGACGCCTGCGTCGCCAATCACAACCCCGCTACCACAGTCACACCACAAAAACAGCTGCACCGCAACACAACCAACAAAACACCGCCAACAAAACAGCACAAGTAGAACAAGAAAATTCCACCACCATCATCACGACCGCCGCCGCCGCCGCCTTTGCTGCCAACGACCACCACCACCACCACCACCACCACCACCACCACCACCACCAAAATGCCGTCAAGATAGCCCACCGCCAACGAAACACCATCAACAAAACACTGTCAGCAATACCAGATTCTCCCCAAACAGTTCCGGAAAAAGAACATTATTCAGGTGGAATACATTCTAAAGGACTTTAAAAAGGGATTCCAAACTAAATCCCCCACAATAAGCTTTGTAGCGAAAGGTTTTTTCATGGTTTGTAGTTCTATGTCGCATAATGTGTTACTAAGGATGTTGGACTACAAAACCAGGTCAACCATTTGTTTAACGCTCGCACTCATGGCGAACGGGAATCACCGGAATAGATGATTCTGCTTTGTCTCCCTTTGTCTCCATGGCCCATGGCTCTTCTGAATGCTGGGCTGGTTCAAACCCAAATCTTTGCAACCTCTTTTTTGAATTGGGAATGACCCGGCTTGACCGGTATGCTTTTGGCTCCCTGGGGTTGGGCACTGGAAATTGACAAAGAGAAACATCAAGCTGCCGCTGCTGTTTGGGTTGATGCTGGAATTTCTGAAGTATTTGCTTCATATTTTTTGCGTACTGTAAAAGACAATCTTGGACGGAGGGGCAAGTCCGTGGTTCCCGGCCAGCAGAGGTGTCGGGTGCATCATCTTCAGACCTTTGATGGACCAGGCAGGTTTGGGGGTTGATGCTATTCTGAACTCTTTGGTAAAGACAATATGGGACACGCATTTCGATTTCTTCAGCAAGCCGACGTTCCAGCTAAACCGACAGTTACTTCACTCCTTGGGGTCCAGAGCCACCGAACCACCAGTTTTTCCATCCTGCTGAATCTTGCGAGGCCCCCATTCTTGGCGGCTTCCATTTGTTTTACTGCAGTCCACCAGAACTTCGTGTTGGTCTTGTTGGCTTGGGCGGCATCACCAGGTCGGGAAGTGGAGCTTTCGCTGCGATGTAGGGTCTGACCACAAACCTGAAAGCTTGAACATGGGATCGTGAGAAAGCGAATCTCATAATCTTAAAGTACAAAGAAAACAAAATGCTTGATGCTACCTTCTGCAGGTGGGCTGCCGTGGACAACACGGCCCCTTGACTCTGTAGAGAACTCTCAGATAGGAAGCACTCCTAGCACTGGTACTTACCGAAGCTACTCCATCCAGGTCAGCGAATTGATGGCAGAAGCCTTCAAGATGGCCACTTGGCAACTTGAAGACTTTGTCAAACGGGATGCTGGCATCGCCATGGCATGTTTCGTCAAAGAACTCTTGGAAGAGTGGCAATGGATCAGGTCATGGTGCTTCCTCAGCGGATGACACAGCGAGCCTCACCTGCAACGAGTTCCTCAAAGGTACAGTATATATATAATATTATATAGTATTTTGTTTTGAACGCTTTGGGGTTGGCAGCCACTACAGGTTGCGGGATGGTTGGCTCATGGGGCTGGGCGGGCACGTGAGAATCATCGAGGTTCTGGGTCGGGAGGCTGGTAGAGGTAAGCTGACCCTTTTCGAGGTTGCCCAAGGACACTACGTCCTTTCCGGCAGGTTGAGAAGTTTCTGCCAGAAGTAACATCAAGTAACAAAAGCCAGCCGTTAGACTATGCCAATGGTGTTCAGAGCGGGCGAAAAACGTATTGGCGGGGCAAAGTTTGTCATTCTGGTGCATTGAGGGGGTGAGTGATGTTGGTTATGTGCACTAGACAGATGGCAATTGCACGTCCATGAGAAGCATAAAGGACCCATTCATCTTGTAAAGACATGGCCGATTTTCTCCTGGCTTTCATCCGGGTTTCACGAGTTCCAGACAAGTCCCATGGGGTAGGTTCCAAGTGGGAATGCCCTTTGCTCCCAGTAGCGTCCTTGCTCCTATTAGCGATGCCAGGAGCCTCTAGTAGCTTCTTGTTCCCAGTAGTAAGGCCAGGAGCCCCTAATAGCGTCCTTGTTCCTAGTAGAATTGGATGGGGCTCAAGTGTAATCCGGATGGGCTCCGGGAGCTGCATAGATTCCGAGATGTGGTTTGCTGCCAGGCTCGGGGAGGTTCCAAGGTACGGGGCTTTGTTCTGGGGAGGTTCCAATCAGCCAACGAGTTCTGGGCAAAAGAGCTCAGCTGATCATGTCAGGTGTTGTGGATTTTGCAGGGGACTTACGATTATGCCACAAGAGAGATGGAGAAACTTGCAGTTGAGGTGCAGGTGAGTAGGCGGGTCCCACAAACATGCAAAAACAAACATGCGGCCTTTGGAAGATGCAGCCGCTTCCCCCTAACCATCCCTCACCCCTGACTAATCCAGAAATCCTAGGCTTTGCGAACACGAAGATAGAGGACATGCCAGACTTTCGCTGTCCACCACCTGTCGGTGTGCTTCGTGTCAAGGCACGACATGAGTCACTAGGCAGATAGGATTGGGTTCTGTCAAGAAATCCTTTGCTTTCCATCAGGATTGAGTTCTGCTCAGATAGTTTTGTCACAAGTTTGATAAGATTGTGAAATCAATTCTTCTTGCGTCACGCTTTCTTTGGAGGTCCTGGGAGCTCGCGGATTGTTGGGGGTGGACTTGGGCTTTACTGGACGCACCAGCGACCCGTGACCCGCCACCGCCACCCTTTGTTCTGGCATATTACACGTGTGTGCAGGATTGTGCAATGGCAGATGTATTCTTTGCAGGTACTGTGTCATTAGTGTTGGCAGCTGCAGTCAACGCACCTCTACAGAGTCAAGGCCTGTGGCATTTAGCTTTTGTGATTTGGGGCATAGGATATTTCAAGACAATTTTCCCACAGAACGCTCCCTAGTGACAAGTGTGGAGATTGTTCAATCGGCAAGCCGAAACGGACCAAGATGTGGTTCGGCAGGACGCTGGAGCCTGATTGGAGCAACGATGAGGAATTGTTCTTTTTGGTGTACCATGTGCCTTGGCTGCTTTGAAAGGACTTAGTGGTCAGAAGAAGTGCTTGTTCTATTATGTTCCATTTCACTGAGGAACGTCAAGATCTATTGCTGCAAGTTTTTGATGAGAACGTTCTGAGACAGGAGCCTACGAGAAGCACATGCTTGTAGTGCTTATGTTACAGCCACAGCCAGCAATGCATGATCAAACTGATGAAACCTTTGATGTTTGAAAGAATCTGTGCATCTCAAGTCCGCACATCAACACAACCCAGACCGAACACAGGTCCCGGTTGTCGTCTAGGACGTTCAGCTCGCCGAGCTTCCAAAGTCTGCCGGCCAGACAGTGGCCGACTTGGTAGCACGCTGTCCCTTGCCACGATGGCTTGACCTAGAAGCAGATGTCCAAGGAGGCACCAGTGTGTCACTTCACAAATCGAATTGATGAAACCACAACCTTCAATACTGGTACCACTAGTAGCAAGACGCTACTAGTAACGGAAAAAGGAGACTACTAGTAGCTCCTGGCCTCACTACTAGGAACAAGAAGCTACTACCAAAGGCACTGAAAGCTGCTGAATCTCACAGTGCCTCTCTGCCCAGGCGCAGTGCAGCTCCAGGCATGGTTCGCAGACCTTTGCCCAACCTCCAGCATCGGCTCGGCAGACCACACGTGCGCAGCCATGATTTGAGAAAAGGGACACTGGACGTGCTGGCTTTCAAGGCCATTTTTTGGGTTTTCACAATGACATGTATGAATACATACATATTATATATATACTGTATATATATATATACATACACATCTCCTTTATATATACTATGCTGGACTGCGCTGTGCCTTTTCATTGCTTCTTCCTGTGTCCATCAGTCTTTGGAGTTTGTCAGAGAAAAAGGCTCTTCCAGCAATGATGCATAGAGCAAGCGGGACAGGATCCTTCAACGAGACCATGCAAAGAGAGGTCCAATTGAACTGGTACACACGGAACCCCTTGGAAGAAGGAGGAAACATGAGAGATGATGAACCGACATCATTTGCAAGAGCTTGTTAAAAAGACACCTTTTCAATACCAGGTACGTCTTAGCCTTGAAGCTCTTCCACCTGAAGGGCGTTTCTGCTCCTGAAGCTCTTGGGGCAAAAGTCCGTCTCAGGACCTTGCATGCGGCCCCGTTCAGTCATCCTTGATTCTACCATGGGAGCTTCGGGCAGTATAGCTCACCAGCACCCCTGACCTGGTTCTTCTACCTGATTATAGTATAGTATAGGTCTTATGGCAAAGTTTTCACATGCCAATCGTCATCGTTGATTAGTGTTTGGCAATGTGAAGCTATATGATGCGCCAAATGTCACTTGCATCATCAGCATCACTTGCCATACCGTAGAATGCTAGCAACCTTAATGCATGGCTTCCGAAGGATTGGAGATCTGGAGGTGCTCTCCAGGCCATGTAAGGTCATTGACCCGGGCAACGTGCATGGTTTTGGCAAGAGGACTGGACGTGGACACTGCGACATGAAAGAACTATTTGCATACGATTCCATTCCGTTGCATTGCATTACGCTACATTACATTATTTATGAGGCTTACGCCTGACAGCCGGGCGCCGGCCTATTTGGGTTTGGGTATGTGCAGGGCTGGGTCCTCTCTCTCTCTCTCTGTCTCTCTGTCTCTCTCTCTCTCTCTGTCTCTCTCTTTCTTTCTCTCTTTGAGACTTGGTGGGGCCAAGATTGAGCAAAGTTAAGCTATCTGGTGCGCATCTTGGCCCTAGGTTGGGCCAAGTTGAGCCCATGTGGTCTATGTTGGGCACATCTTGGGCCCA